TTGGTTATCATCAGCTTGTTTAGTAACCTTGGGCAAACCTCTCTGAGCCTCAATTTCCTTATCTGCAAAAGGGACAGCTGATTTTCCCTATTCCATTAAGTAACAAACACTAAGAAGAATTTAAAAAAAAAATGTAAGAGTGAAGTTTATTGATCGTTTAACATGTCCCAGGCACTTTGCCAAGCACTTTACATATGTAAGCTCATTTGGTTAAATGAGGTAATGCCTATAAAGTGCTTAGCGCAGGACTCCAGAAATGGGAGTGATAATGATGATGATGAAGAAATTGATGATGACTCCCTGGGGCGCGTCTCCCGGTTCATGCTTTTACAGGAAGTCGCTAGAGGCCTGCAAGGTTTCAGGAAGGATGGAGACCAGGAGGGAAGAGCAGGGTTTGGACATTAAAATTACATAGCTCAACAGGCTGAGCACCTGCTCTGCATCCTGGGAGGCTCAAGTCTGATCCTCAGCACAGCATAGTCCACCCCCCACACCCCCAAGCACAAGTTGGGAGGAATCCCCAAGCACCACTGGGTGTGGTCCCAAAACAAGAAAGAGAGAACAAAGGAACAAAGAAAGAGAAAGGAAGGAAGGAAAAGGGAATGAATAGTATTAATAAAGTCAGGACACTGCAACATGCAGAAGTGGAGAAAGCAAAAGGCTCAAGATTTTCTCCAGAACAGAACCACACTGCATTGTATGGACGCTTCGGGACCAGCCCAGACCCCAGCCCCGAGGCCTTAGCTGGGCAGACTTAGCAGTTCACTGAAGACGGACCAGTTTCTTCTGGTTGGCAGATGGTAGCCCAGAGAGATAGGACAATGGGTCAGGCATTTGCATGTGGCTGACCTGGGTTTGATCCCCAGCAACCCAGATGGTTCCTGAGCCTTGCCAGGGGTGATTCCTGAGTGCAGAGCCAGGGGTAAGCCCTAAGCGACCACTAGGGGTGGCCCAAAAATCAAGACTAAAACAAACAAACAAACAAAAAGCCCCCCAAGCCCCCAAGTCTTGCAGGGAAGAAAGCCCTGTCCACTCACGGGATGTCAGAGGCAGAATTGAGCTTGAATCGGGCCTTGTGCTTCTTAGCTCAGTGTCGAACTACCTGCAGCAGCAGTGTCCGAATGAAGACGGTGGGCAAGCCTGCGGGATGCTGGGACCACAAGGGTAGGACACATCCCAGAATATCCAGCATTAATAATAAAGAGCATGGGTCTCCTGCCTGCTCACTCACTTCATGTTTGGCCCAGAGCTTCTTCGTTATATGTATTTAATCCTCAACAACAACTCTAATAACTGGGAACTCTGCGTCTCTCTAATTTTTTTTGTTTTCTTTTGTTACGTTTTGAGCCACACAGAGATGCTCAGGGGTTACTCCTCGCTCTGCACTAAGGAATCACTCCTGGTGGTGCTCGGGGGACCATCTGGGGTACTGAGGATGGGTCAGCTGCATACAGGGTAAATGCCCTAGCCGCTGCACTGTCACTCTGGCCCCCTCTCTAATTTACAGGTAATAAAACAATGGCTCAGAATGGGTAAGAAATGTACTAAGACCACTAAGTTCAGTAAGAGTCAGGACACAACTCAGGTCTGTCCTGCTGAACTCCAGAGTTCCACCATGTGTACACCTCCCACCTTGCAATCCACTCTCAACTTCTCCTGTCTCACCCACACCACATCTACTCCAATTACAGAAAAGCATTCAGGCCTGACTTGTCTTATTTTTTTATAATTAAACTTTTATTGTTATGATCTTTCATATGAAAAGGAAAACTCTGACCCTGCTCCTCTTCTGAAGTTTTCAGTTAAGAAATATTTAGCAGCCTCTTCCTTGTCTACCCTCTCACTGGGTGAGCTACTAAGGCCCCCTTCTCCCTGGGACATCGGGCTGCTGAATTCCAGCATCTGGAAACCAATTATAAAAGCTACCAGGGAGCCCGAGCCTCTTGGGGCTGGGAACAGCTGCAGGGACCCATGAGCAATCCCAAGAACAAAGCTGGGAGTAATCTCTGAACACTATTAGATGTGGCCTCCAAACAAACAAAAAACAAAAAGGAGACCATCAGAGCCAAGAGGCCAAGTTTCAAGTGTCCTCTGGAAGCACCTCTCCAGATAATTCATACACTCTCTCAGGCTACCCAAAGCCACATCACATCAGAGTCCCAGAATATCAGAGTCCCAACTTGGTCTTGCCTGTAACTCCAGAGCCCCTCAGGCTGGTAAAATCCTCTAAGTGGAAGGGTGGGGATTTGGCTGAACTGGGGAGAGAGTACTGGGAGAGAAGAACCCAAGGGACCTCACACTGACCGGACCATAACTATTCATTTTACAATCAGGAAGGCAACAGAGAGGGCTGGAGTGATAGCACAGCGGGGAGGGTGCCTGCCTTGTACGCAGCCGACCTGGCTTAGATTCCCAGCATCCCACATGGTCCCCGAGCCCTGCCAGGAGTAATTTCTCAGTGCAGGGCTAGGAGTAATCCCTGAGGACTGCTGGGTAAAGCCCAAAAATCAAAACCGCACTGTAGCACTGTCCTCCCATTGTTCATTGATTTGCTCGAGCAGGCACCAGTAACGTCTCCACTGTGAGACTTGTTGTTACTGTCTTTGGCATATCGAATACGTCACAGGTAGCTTGCCAGGCTTTGCTGTGCGGGCGGGATACTCTTGGTAGCTTGCCGGGCTGTCCGAGAGGGGCGGAGGAATCAAACCCAGGTCGGCCGTGTGCAAGGCAAACGCCCTACCCACTGTGCTATCGCTTCAGCCCCCCCCAAAAAAAATCAAAACAAAAACCAAAAAAATAAATTTAAAAAAGATTAAAATTTAAAAAAAAAGAAGAAACAGGAGGAAATAGAAGGGGGATGGAGAGACAGCAGAGCAGCTAAGGTGCTTGCCCTGCATCTGGTCAACCCAGGTTCAATCTCCAGCACTGCATATGGTCCTGAGAGCCCTCCTTGAAAACAGTCAGTGCTTAGGAAGAAGCCCTAAGTACTGCTGGGTGAGGCTCAAAACTTAAAAGGATGCTGGTCAGTTACTTGGATTCAAAGCCTGGCTCCTCGTCAGGGCACATCAGACAAGTTACTTTATAGGGTCACCAGGAGCACAAAATGAATGAATGAAAACACGGAACAGTGGGGCCTACCTCTAGGAAGTGCTCCAACCCTAACCGTGAAAATGACTATCCAGGAAGCAGGAGCGGAACCAATGGTTCACAGTGTGGGCCTGGGCAGGGAGGAGACCCACCTGTATCTCCTGCTCTTAGTCAAGAACTTAATCCGGACACTTTGACAGTACTTTTCTAATAAAAGGCTTAAAATTTAAAAATGAACAAACAGAAGGGGGAAAATAAAAACCCATTCTCGGAAAAGTTTCAGCATCTCCTGGCATTTCTTATGTTCCTCAAAGTAGATAAAGAGTATCTCTACTTTGAGCCGGGAGCTGCCAAACCACTGCTTCATTCATCTATTTTACAAATATTAATGGAGTGCCAGGCATTCTTCCAGCTGCTGGGGATTTAGCAGGGAAGAAAACAGATAATCTCTGCCCTTCTGGAGTTTTCATACTACCTGATCTTAATTAATCCTCTCTGCAGCCCTCAAGGATGAGCAATTTACAGACAGTCAGACCAGGGCACCCAGTAAGGGGAAAGTCACTTGCCTAGTGTTCCTGGCTGGTATCTTCAGGGCTCCAGATGTTCTTCCCACACCCAGGGGGACGGGTCTGAGGACCACAGGTTTGAGGCTAGTGACCCCGAGAGTAGAGAAACAAGATGAATGGGGTGTGGACATCCAGATTCAAAGCCTCACTCTCACTACCTGTGGGGGATTGGAGGGTCAGTGGGTGTGGGCAGTGTGGCACACCCAACCATGGAGCCAAGCACCAGCGGGGCAACTCCCCCAACTCACACAATCACACCTGACTTCTGCCCCCGGAGGTCCTTAGGCCTGGAGCAGGAGGCGGTTTTAAAGCCGGAGTCAGGACTCGGACCTACGCAGGAGGGAGACGCCCTGGACGCTCCTGGACCAACCTTCTCAATTCATGAACCAGGGCTGAAGAGCAGAGCAGATCCCCCTCTGAGCCCCACCTTCATTCCACTGGCCGCCTTCACACCAGAACCGGAGTCCCTTAAGCCGAGGTCAGATGTAGGGTTCTCCCCAGAGTGCCCAAGTAACCCCACCCGATCCAGGCGAGCTCAGGCGGAGCGGAGCTGCTGGTCGGCTGGAGCGGCTCACGCACGGAGCCCTGGCCACAGCGGCCAGAGCCAAAGAGGGAAGATGACCCTAGCCCTGCAGCTTACTGGGACCCTCTCCGCCCCAGGCCTGCGCCCTTCAGTCGGGAGGGTGAAGGGAGGCAGAAGCAGCACAAAGGAGGAGGGCACGGTTCTTCGTGTCTTAAGATCCCAACACACGCCGATGAACCCGGCCCAGGAACGATCAGAGATCCGGAGACAGACCAAGGAGAAACCCGGAGAGCGACCCACGGGGGCAGAGACTTTGGGCGAAACGCTCGCACGGGATCCAGAGCCAGAGCCCCGAGGAAGGGGGATCCCGGCGCCGAGAGACTGGAGGAAAACAGCCGGCGGGGACCGCGGCGCAGCCGAAGACCAGCTCGGACACACCCCCAGCCCAGCGCGCCCCAGCGCACAGCGGAGCCCCCACCGCGGCCACTCGCTCACCCCGCGCGGAACCGGACGCGCGGGGGCCCCGGGCGCTGGGCGGGTCGGGGACCCGCGCGCAGGACGCTCTCGGGGACAGGGGCGCGCCGGGCACGGCGACGAGAAGCGCACACAAAGAGACAGCCGGGCCAGCAGGAGCAGGCTCCGCCCGTCCGTCCGCTCGGAGACTCCAGACCACCCGGCGCAGGGCACCGGCCCCGGACACACACACACACGCGCGCGCGCGCACACGCACAGGCACACGCAAACACACACCCCGGCACCCGCGCGCCCCGGGACCCGCCCCGCCGCGCCCCACCCTGCGCGGGCCGCCTGGGCGCGCGGCTCACCAGCTGCAGGCAGCAGAAGGCGACGAGCGTGCAGCGCCCGCTGCACTTGCCCATGGCTCCGGGGGCCGCGCGGGCCGGCCGCCGCCTCCTCCGCGCCGCGCGGGCTCCGCGTCCTCCCGCTGCGCGCCTCGGGCGGCGGGGCCGGGCGCCTAGGGCCGGGCCCGGGAGCGCCGGCTCCTCAGGGCTGGGACCGGCCGCCGGCGCTCCGAGTCCATGGTCCGTGCGCCCGCGCGCCGCCTCCGCCGCGCCGCGCCTCCTTTGTCTGCCCGCTCGGCCGCCAGGCGCGCCTGCTGCCCCGGGGCGGCTGGCGGGGAGCGGGGGGCGCAGGCACCGAGCGCGGCGCGGCGCACAGCAGCACTGCCCAGCTGGGGCAGCCGCCCGGGCACTCGGCGGCCGCGGCTTCCCGGCCCCACCACGTGGCTCCGCCGCCACCGCCGGGAGGGAGGGAGGGTGGGCCGGCGGGGGTGGGGCGGAGCAGCCGCGGGAGCGCAGGGGAGGGGAGACGGGGTGAAGACGAGGGGGAGAGGCAGAGAGGCAAGTGGCAGAGTGTGGGCTTGAGCCCTGAATCAAAGCCCGACTTCGCTGCTTACTTGCTGTGTGACCTTGAGCGATCGCAGCACTTCTCTGAGTCTCAGATTTCATATATGTGTGTGATTTCAAATATATGTGTGTTATATGTGCCATGTTTGCATGATATATTTTATGTATACGTTTAGTATGTTTATTTATTTTTGCTTTTTGGGTCACACCCGGCGAGGCTCAGGGGTTACCCCTGGCTCTGCTCTCAGGAATTACTCCTGGTGGTGCTTGGGGTGGGGACCACATGGAATGCCGGGAATTGAAAGCGGGCCGACAGCGTGCAAAGCAAACGCCCTCTCCGCCCGGGCCCTAATATATATATTTTGTTTGTTTGGGGGCCACATGCGGTGGTGCTCATGATTCATTAGTGGCGATGCTCAGGAGACCGAGCATATGGAATTCTGCAGATTGAACCAGGGTTGGTCGTGTGCAAGGCAAGCACTCTACCCAATGTAATTATCACTCCAGCTGCATGTTTTTGTATACATTGCATATATGTTTTTTGGTGTACGTTATATATGTGTTTTATGTGTATGTTTTGGGACCACACTTGGAGGTGCGGGTGAGCAGGGGGATAACTCCTGGTTCTTTGCTTAGGGCCACACCTGATGATGTTCAGGGGATCATGTAGTGCTGGTCCTCTACCTGACTTCTCCCACCCTCACTTTGCTTATTAATGAAGCAAGTATAGTATTAGGATATTACAAAAGAACAGTGCTGTTGTTGGTGCCTGGAAGGCGAAGAGCAGTTAGTGAATCAAGCAGTTGGCATTCTGCCTTTGCTGCTGAAGGTACTGTGATATTCCTGTCAGCCCTGGGTTCAGTCTTTGGCCCTCTACTTTCACTCCCAGGTCTGCTCTGCATCCTAACCTTCCCTCCTGGGTGTCTCCCTGGCCACATTAGCATTCACTTCCTTCCCTTTCCTTCTGCTGGCACTCATCAAACCCCCACTGCATGCACTCCCTGGCAGTCCTAGATTCAGACTTAAATCTGAAGGGTCCTTGGAGTACCTTGACCTTCCCAGCCCAAGGGTATGCAGGGTATAAGACAGGTGATGGCAGAGGTCTGTTCTGGTTCAGTGGCCAGCCCCAAGCCCAAGTATGATGGGGAGGGAGTCAGAAAGAGCTTGTCTGGCCCAGAGAGAGTGTGTCAAATGGACTGGGGTACATGCAGATGCCCAGATTCTATTCCCAACACTGCAAGGTTCCATGAGCACTGCTGGGAGGCACCCTAAGGACAGAGCCAGCTGGAAGTATCCTCTGAGCAACACTGAGTGTGGCGAGAAAAGAAATCAAAGCCAAAAAAAGAAAGAAAAAGAAGATCTGCCTTCTCCTGTCATTCCCTCAAAATGCTCAAAACCCAAACACATCCCCAATACATTTAAATATCACTGTCCACATCCTCTAGGAGGTCAGAACAACTGTGGGATTCCTGAGGTTCTGTCTTTCTCCTGACTTAGCCACCACCTCCAGTGGTCCGCAGTGCCAGGGATCAAACCTGGAGCTCCTACATGCAAAGCATGTGCTCTAGTCCTGTGACCCTTTGTGCCATCTTCCTGGCCCCGCCCTGGAGCCTTCTGACCTGCCAATGTAAACTGTACATTTCAGCTAGTCTTTCTGAAATGCCTCCTAGATGCCCAGTGCGGGAGGGAGGGTGGAGAAAAAGGAGAAGAATTAGACAAGGTCTCTGCCCTCAGGAAGAGAACGGTCCATGACGGATTGTCATGAAAATAAAATGTACAAGTAAATGCATAATTATAGATTCTGATGAATGCCTTAAAGGACAAAAATGAACAGAAGAGAGAATAAGACCAGAAGAATATTATTTAGATCTGAAGACCAGAAAAATGCCTCATTGAGAAAATGACATTGATATTGAGGGAGGGAAGGGAGGCAGAGTGGGAAGGAACATCTGGGAGTAGAAATTGGCTGTTTCTTATTCTTTCCCTTCCTTTCCACTCCTGCTAGTCCTCTTGACTCAAAAGAATATAATAGGGGCTGGGAGATCGCTCCAAGATTGAGCTGGATTCAATTCTTGTTTCCCGAGCACCACTGGGAGCCTGAACACAGAACCAGGAGTAGCCCGCAAGTACCACCAATAGTAGTGATCAAAAAGCAAAAAACCAATATGATAACTGTGAAGACTCAGGGGAATGATGGGGCCAGAGGATAGTACAGAGGGTGGGGTGCTGGCCTTGCAAGCAGTTGACCCGGGTTTAATCCCTGGCACCCCATATGGTCCGCTGAGTACTGCCTGGAGTTATTCCTAAATGCAGATACAGGAGAAATCTCTGAGCATTGTTGACTGTGACCCCAAAATTAAACAAAGACTCATGGATCTGAAACCAATCAAATAGCCTGGCTGTCACTTTTAGGCATTTGCACGCTGCTTCCGTAGTAAGCTCTCAAATGCACTATCTTTTTATTATTATTATTATTATCTTCTCTCCCCCACAGTTTTTGGGCCATAATTGGTGATACTCAGGACTTCATGGCTTATTGCTGGCACCATACTCAGATCACAGCCGGGGGTACTCCAGGGTCCATATGTGGTGCCAAGATTGAATCAGGGTCAGCCGCATGCATGGTAAGGACCCTACCAGGTGTACTATCTCACTAGCCTCTCAAATGCATCATCTTATCCAAGGAAGGACTAACTATATAATCTGAGGGACCCCATGCAAAATGTGGAATCAGTAAAAAATGAAAATGTGAAGCTGCCTGTTCAAACAAAAAATTCCAGGGGGCGGAGCGATAGTACGGCAGGTAGGATGTTTGCCTTGCACGCGGCTGACCTGAGTTTAATCCCCGGCATCCCACATTGTCCCCTAAGCACTTCCAGGAGTAATTCCTGAGTACAGAGCCAGGAGCAACCCCTGAGCATCCCCAGGTAAAACCCAAAAATAACAAAACAAAACACAAGACAAAAAATTTCAAGATAATTACAACTCAGAGCACTAAATCAATCATGAGGACAGACCTTTATAACTAGATGCTGCCTACCCTGCCTTCTCCCAGTACTGTTACAATGGTCTCTCCAGGGCCTGAGAGATAGTATGGAGGTAAAGCACTTGCCCTGCAAGTGGTCAACCCAGGTTTGATCCCCACGCCACCAGGAGTGATCCCTGAGCACAGAGCTAGGAGTAATCTTTGAGCACTGCTGAGTGTTGCCCCCCAAAAGTAATTTTTTAAAAATGGAAAATATATTTTAAATGGTTCCCTCAAAAAAAATTAATTTAGGGTCCAGAGCGATAGCACAGCGGTAGGGCGTTCGCCTTACAAGCGGCCAACATGGCCGACCCGAGTTCAATTCCTCCGCCCCTCTCGGAGAGCCCAGCAAGCTACCGAGAGTATTCAATATGCCAAACACAGTAACAACAAAGTCTCCAATGGAGATGTTACTGGGCCCGCTCGAGCAAATCGACGATCAATGGGAGGGCCTTTTACCTTTAGGGTCCAGAGCAATAGTACAGTTGGTAAGTCACTTGCCTTACATGCAGCTGACCCAGACTTGATCTCTGGCATCTCTTATGTCCTCCGAGCACTGCCTGGAATGATTCCTGAGTGCAGAAGTAGGAGGAATCCCTGAGCATAGCCAGGTATGACCTGAAAAATAAAACACAAAAAATTAGTTGAAAACAGTGATTCTGGGGCTGGAGATATAGTGCAATGTATAGGGGACTTAACCTTGCACACAGATGGGTCAGGATCAATCCCTGGCCTACCATACAGTTCCCCAGCCCCATCAGAGGTGACTCCTGAGAGCAGAGCCTGGAGTAAGCCCTGAGCACTGCCAGGTATGGTCCCCCCCAAAAAACAAAAATTTATAAATCAATTAAAGAAGAATTCTCTCACTCCATTTAGTCCTCGGAGTGCCCGTTGATGTTTTAAAACTCACAGGATATTCCTAGAGTTGGCACTCCAGGCACTGAGGTTTTCCGTTGGAATAATGAGCTGAGCTGACAGTGGGAACTTTTCTCAGCTGTGCTTGGCAAGTAACAGCTGTGTCCAACCAGGTTTCCCGGCTAGACAGGCTTCCAGGAATCTGTGAAGTCTCTGAAATAATATGCAAAGCTTCATGTGAGCAGATGTGCCTTTTTCTGAGGAGAGGGTCCACAGCTTTCATCAGATTCTCCAAAGAGTCCATTTCCCACAAAAGACTAAGAACCAGTCCCAAAAGGCTCAGCCCAGATGTAACCAACAATTCGTTTATAGAATCTCCTATGGGGCCTTTTCCAGAGAGAACCAGTTCCCAGGGCGGTGCCTCAAATCATGTCAATGAATAATAATAACAATAACAGAGGCTGTTTATCGAGTGCTTACTCTGAGCCAGGCACTTGACACCCGTTATCTTATTTAATCCTTGTAATAACAGCAGAGACCACCGGGACCCTGGCTGATTCTTGGCAGACTCTCAGCTGCATTATCCTGTGCCTCTGACACCCTGTTCTGAGATGTGACTGACTCACTCTGCCCCATGGAAGAGCAAGCGATATGCCTGACCTCAGCAGAACCACTCGGCTCCTAAGCCATGTGCTCCCCAAGGGCTGCCCTGATGAGTCCACACACACCGGATTTTCTCATTCCCATGGTTTCCATGAGCTCTGTTGCATATGCATTTCCCATCTAAACTCCTAGCCTTGAGAGCTTGTTTGGAGGTTCTAGCAGGGGAGCGCAGCTACTCGTATACCCTCCACCGAAGACCTCCTCTTCGAAGACCGAAGACTGAAGGCCGTCCTCTTCAACCGAGCGCGCAGTTTCGGGAGGGACACACATGGAGCGATGAGGGAGGAAGGGGACACCCACCTAGCCAGCCAGATCAGCCAAGTCAACCCTGGCAATCA